AGTTGCTAGTGTTACGAGAGATGGAGAAAAACTTTTCTTTCTCCACTTTTTCCATGCTATGCATAATTTTATAAACTTCAATCAGGTCACATATTACTCACATATTTTTCTCTTAAATGAAAAAGTTCCAAACTCATAGGTGAGTCACTCCATCCCCCGATCATTTTGCATTTCTTTCTTAATTTTGATGTAATAAAGGGGAATCTGCATCTGCTGGGAAGCTTCTGCTTTGCTTTACTCTTCCATGGGACCTTCAGTATCTCCAAACCTTAACGCATCAATGAGACCCCCAGAACCATAATTTCCCTCTAACCCAGTGCCCTCCAGATGTTTTGGACCACAACTATGTCAAGGTTGCTGGGGCTGGTGGGAATTGTAGTCCAAAACATATGGAGGACACAAGGTTAGGGAGAGCTTCTTTATGCCAATTTCTGTCCAAGCAGCCTCCAGTTTGCGTCAATAGTTTGTCTTTCTTCCTGTCACCCGCTCGGGAAGGGATACAGCATTGCCATTTGACTCTGCAAGGTCAAATTGGAGAAGAGCCATAGCTCAGCAGTAGAATATCTGCCTCGGTTGCAGAAGGTTCCAGGTTCAGTGCCCACCATCTCCTGTTAAGACTGGAAATGTTCCCTGCCTGAAACCCTGGAGAGCCATAGCCAGTCAATGTAGACTATACTGAGCACCAATGATCTGATTAAGCATAAGGCAGCATCTTGTGGTCCGACAGTCTTCATTCTTATAGAAAACCTCCAAATTTTGCAGGCTGCAAAGGTTCCTTGGGAAGAAAAAGCAGTCATTTTGGACCCAGCATTGCCTTGCTGCTAATTTCCATCATCGAATTCCCTGGGAATCTGGCTTTATAAAGCCCAGAGGCTTTAGAGAAAGTGGGGGGCGGAATCCCACCACAAACTGTTTCTGAAATAACTTTTCAAAACTACATTTTTATCCATGTTGGGTGCACATTGGGTGTGAGTCTTCAGGAAAATCTTCATAGCCATCAGATTTACACAGCTGGTAGCAATCTCTCCCTCCCCTCCCCACTTCGCTCTCTCTCACACCTTTTAATACTACAATGCTATAGTGTAGCCTGCTGTTTAGTGGAGAATATTAGCTCCCCTGTGCATTTTCTCTGCTGCTCCTTGCCAAGAAGGGGGTGGAGGGTGTTATAGCAGCACCGGTCCTGTAAGCTCTTATTTATTCTGGCTATTAATAGCTTTCACACAAACATTGCTCATTAGTCCAGTTTCTGACTGCTGTCACCAAAGCTCACGGGCTAGGCTGCCGAGAGCTTTGCAGTAGATGGATTCTCCACAAGAAGCATCCTGTTAGATCTCATCAAGGCTCAAAACTCATTCAGTATCTCAGGAGTGAGGAACCCCAGGTCTGGAGGCTGAATGTGGCCCTTCTGGAACTCTGGCCCTCTGAGAACTCTGTTTTGGGCCTGGCCGGTATGCATCTTTCGTCCACCTGCTTTAGCCTCAGCCTTACCACAGCTAACAGGCGGGCCCTGAAGGTAGCCTAAAAGCAAGGGTGCCAACCTGAATAAAATATGGGGGGGGGCAGACCTGCCCCACAAAATTGATCACAAGATGCAGCACATACACACCACTTGAATAGCAATGGCCATCAACTTTGAGGTGGCTTGGCGTTCTCAAATATTTTATTGGGGAGGCTGAAGGGAACTCATCATTTGGCTCCTATGCTTAAAAGGGAATGTGGCCCTTCAGGTTGTGAAGGTTCCCTGTTCCTGTAAGATCCTCTTTCTAACACTGACCAATTTCCCAAAAAGCCCATAGGCAGGAGCGTCATGAGAACAGGAGTTGTCTCCTGATGTCTGGCTCCAACCATCGGTATTCTAGGGCATATTAAACATGGAAGCTACCTGTCATGGTTCATTACTCTTCGGAGGGCCATCCTCCATGAATTCAGCTAATCCTTGTGTAAAGCTAGTGACCATCACTGAATCTTGTGGCAACAAATTCAACCAGCTATTTAGACATGAGAGGAAGGTGGTGGACTCCCCTTCATTGGAGGTTTTTAAATAGAGGTTGGATGTCAATCTGTCAGGGATTCTTTAGCTGAGATTCCTGTATTTCAGACTTCCGGGTTGGCGCCTCCGGCAATGGCGGAGCTCCTCCGTTTGGGAGGAACTTGCTCCGTGAAAAACAGGGTCTGACCGCCACGGCGAAAGTGTAGACCCATTGAAATCACAAGCGGGAGAAGCTTGTGAACCTGGGATTCGGCTGGCACCTTTTGCGCCTCCCCTACTCGCGGGGAAACCCTGTTTTGGGGATCCGGAGCGACGTGGGGTGAGTGGCGCGGTGCTTTGAATCGACTGCTTCTTTCACGGAGTGAAGCCGCATTGCTGTTGCCGGAGAGCGCTGACTTTTTCCTGTGGACAATTTAAACAACTACTTGTGAGTAAAACGGAAAATTGGATTCTTAAATACTTTAATTCAGCACTGAAACGGGAAGGTTATAAACAGGAAGTCCGCCTCCCGTTTTTGTAAATAGACTGAAGCAAAGACGTTATAAGTTAAAGCCGTTGAAAGCTTTTGGCAAAGGATCAAATTTCCACCGGTTTAAAATACAAAACCCCCCTTGGAAGCAGGAGAAGAGGGGAAAATTTTGGATCTAGTGAGCCTGCAGGAGAGAGTGAAAAAATCAAATTACCACTGCTCTGAACCTGGGAACGGGCTGCCAGATGACGTTTGGAGAGAGTGCTTTTGACAGAACGGATTTGACAGCTAGCTAAATAAGAGTAAGATACTGTTTCCATTGCCTTTTCTGCGTTTAAAAAAAGAGGAAAAGCAACTGAAAATTTATCTTTAATGCTGGAGTTGTGCCTGAAAGAACTGATACAAGTGGAGACTGTTTCCCTCTAGAGGGAGCTTTTGAAACTGTTACAGGAGTATAACTGGGGGATTTCCAGCTGCAGATAAGGATTCTGTGAACCAGAGAGCGACCTTGGACTATTTAAAAATGTTGACAGGAGAGGCCATTGTGACTGTTTTATGTAAGAGAAGCTGTTCGCTGGGACAGCTTCACAAGAAGATGGATGACATGACTTTCAAAGTTGATAATTTGGAACATAAAGTGACCAATTTGAGTCAAAAAGCGAACATCAACACAGAAATAATTCAGGACTTGGTACAGGAACCCATTTTGGCAGGACAAATGGTGGAGGAGAAGGAGGAGAAGGAGAATGCTGCTGTTGTTGAACATAAAATAATACAAGTGAGATCTGTGGTTTTACAGAAGCAAATTGAGGACTATAAGTTGAGGCCTTCTATGATTGAATCTAGGAAAAGTCAGACTCCGAGGAATGGATCCCGGCTTGGATTAAAGAAGGAAAGTTGGAAAGAGCCCTCTATGCAGGGATTAACTGACTTTTGGGACATGGACTCGGGCCTGGAGGAGATTGAAGTTTTGGGGGCCTTTGGAATTGGAGGAATTTTGAAATATACCCGGAAATACTTTATGGACTGTAGCTTTAACTATGGAAATTTAGTTGATTTGTTCAGAAGGAAGAAAAGGATTGACAGGTTGGAGTTTCCCCGAGATTTGCTCTTTAGCATTAAAGAAAATGAAGAAGACCTGCAGAAGGGACTTGGAAAAGAGTTAAGAGCCTCAGACATAAGATCACCAGGTTGATGGACTTTATGGAATTGACGGAAAGGACTGGCAGAATCCAAAACCTGGGAGAGGAGATGGTGGAAGAAGATTGGAAAACTTAAAGTTTATATATAGACTTATGGTAAAACTAATGAGTGATAGAAAAATGGTGGAATGATTTTTATTTTTATGGGCTTAACAGAAATGTTATAAGGAGTTAAGCACATATAAATATTTTAGTTTTAATGGAAAATAAGGTTAAAAATACGTTATTTACAATATCACAGAAAATGGAGAAAGATGGAAAGGATTTGCTGAAACAATTAATAGAAGTGGAATACAAAAAGGGAGGTGAGAGGAGGTCGAGGAAACAAGGGAATGAAAGATAGAGTATGGAAAAGAGATGATGTATGTTTTAAAATTGTTTTTGTTTTGTTCAATTTAGGGTTAAGGTTAGGGAGTGGGGTTTGTTTAGTTTAGTTTAATGTGTTTAGTTTTGAGTTTAGGTTGTGTTTTGTATTGTTTATATATTGTATTGTATTGTTTTTTTCTTTTTGTTTTTCTCCTTTGTTTTTTCTTCTGTTTTTTCTTTTTTTGCTTTTTTTTCTCTTTTTGTAATCTATAAAAGTAATAAATATTATTAAAAAAAAAAAAGAGATTCCTGCATTTCAGGGGATTGGATTACATAACCCTTTGGGACACTTCCAACTCTACAATTCTATGATTCACATGTTCCTAAAATGAGCATCCTGGGCTGGAAGAGATATTCTGTGAGGTTCCCACCTAGGCTGGGAAGCTAGGTTATGAACTTGAAAGGTTCCCCTTTCCTGCCTCCTCCTCCTCTGTGCTCTGATTTATTATTTCCTTCCTGATGTTTCTCTGATTTGACGGCAGCAATTGCCAGTTGGCCTGCGACGGTTCGGTGTCCCGCAGATTTAATTTTCTGCCTTTCATGTACTGGCAGGCAACAGTTTTGTGGGAGTATTTCCCATGGGTACCAGGCTTTGAGTACAGAATAGGAAAGATTCCATCTTCAGAGGAGAAGGAGAAACACATGACCTCAAGGTAAACATCTGCTACAAGGAAGGTGAGCAGCTGATGACCCAGTTGGAGATGAAATCCTATTTGGGAAGAGCTGGGTAATACGATGAGACAGACAAGCACATATGGAGCTCTGGCAGAGGATGCATTGCCCGCATCAACCCTTCACTCACGCATAGGAGAGGAAACCATGTAACAGACAGTGACAGAGAACTACTTGGACATCCGATTAAGTATCTTCCCCATCATGAGCCACTCCACACTCCTAACCCATGAGGAAATTCCCCAGGTCTGGAGAACTCCTTGTCTGTTAGTGGATAGGGAGGGTGGGTAGGGAGTGGGTGGAGATGGCTCAGTGGTAAAGTATCTGTTTGCAAGCAGAACTCCCAGGGTTCAATCCCCAGGGGCATCTCCAGGGATGGGCAAGAAAGGCTGATGTCTAAAACCCCAGGGAACTTTTGCCATTCAGACTAGACAATATTGAGCTAGATGGAGCAATGGTCAGACTCCATTTTAGGTCGCTTTCTATGTTCCTATGCCAGTCAGAACAGCAGGGATTGGCCCTTCAGATGATGACATGTGATGAGACGCTTATAAGCCCTAACCATTGGACCTGTTTCTCAGGTTGATGTGTGTTGTGGTCAAAGAAGTTCTGGAGGGTCATAGGTCCTCCACCCCTGGCTTAGGGACCCTACTGCCCTGTGTTGTAGGCTTGCTAGCCTAGCCAGGAGGTATATTAATCCAGGTCATTTGGAATCTGTTTGCCAGCTTGGTGCATAGCTGTGATTCCTGCATTGCAGGGGTTGGACTAGATGGCCCTTTGGGTCCCTTCCAACTCTGCAGTCTTATGATTTTATGAGTATATGCAGCTGGTTATTAACTGTTGCAGTTATGCTTTTGCCAACCAAACTGGGAGTGATTACTCAGAATCCTTTGCCTACTCTGAGATTGACACACATGCACCTCATTTAGAGAGGATGTTGTAAATGCATCCTCAGCTCTTCAATCTGAATTAATTAACCCTTTAAGCACCTCTACACAACCCTTTTGAAATTCAAGGCCTTTTCAAATTTCTCTGGAATACCTGGATCAGTTTTGCCTGAATCAATCAGCACATGGCAGGCAAGACCAAGATGTGATTGCAAACAAAGCTTGGCTCTCTATATACAATTTTAGGTAACTATATCAAGACACCATTTTTCAAAGCTGGAGTTATGCTGTGCATTAGAATCCTGGCAATTCAGAGCAACTTCTGTGCCACAGCAGCTGAACATTTTGCTCTCCGCCCCCAGTCAAGAGACCTAGTCTTGTCCAGAGTGTTGATAACAAACTAATACTGAATTGAAATCATGCTTCCTGTGTAATCTACCTACAGTCCTTGTGCCGGTAACAATTCCTTTCCAGTTCCTGCAGGATGTGCTCTGACATCAAGTGTGTGGTGGCACAGGGTATGAAGAATGGGAGCACAGTCAATTCCAACCATGTTACCCTACAGCAGCCTTCTCCAACCTGGTACCTTCCAGATGTTTTGAACTGCTACTCCCATCAGCCCTAGAGGGCACCTAGTTGAGGAAGGCTGCACTAAAGCTTGTGAAAAATAGCTGCATGGTTTAGTTGCAGAGTGAGATCTGCACTGCGAAGTGCAAGGTGAGATCTGAGGAAACATAAAGGCTTGTTCAATAAATCAGTACAAAGTCTCAGTATCAGCTCAAAAGACAAGATACAAGACTCATAAGTCTACAACAGATCTCTACAGTTCATGACTAGGCAATAGCTAAAACATGTTCCCCAGCACTTGACATGCCCCTCTTTTAAAGAACAGGGTAGGACCAATCATTCACATAGCTTGCAAGCATGCACTCCAGCAAATAGTCTGGGTCTGTTCATGCATGTCCTTGGTGATGGGAGGTGAACCAGTCCCTCTGAGCCCCTTCCATCTCTGGTTCTTCTGGCCTCAGCAGTCAGGTCATGGAGGCCTCACTCTTGGAAGGTAGGTTAAGCACTGGTCCACTTGGTTCTCCATTCCCTTTTGTGATGTCCATCAATAATGAGGCAGAGGACTATCCCAACTGAATACTGAGGTTCTCCCAAGCTCCAGCCTTTGAATCCTCCTCTGACAGCTCCTTCCAGCCATGAGTCAGGCAGTATCATGGGACCCATGACATGGGCAAAACAACATCAATTGGGGTGCCCCCTTCCCTGGTAGATTTGCCAGTCATGACAGCACCACTGCAATTTTCAGCAGGCTGACAAGAGATGACCAACATTTTGACATTTTCCTAACGTCACATAACATCACCCTAGAGCATTGTAGGAATGTCAAAATGGCTTCCTCACCACCTGCCACTCAGTTAATTCACTGGAGAAGGCAGGAAACCCAACTCAGTTGAGCTTCCAAGATGCTTGGCTATTAGCAACTGCCTGAAGATGCCAGGTACTGCTCCTAGTCCTGGATGTGAAGTTAAATTTCCAGACTCAAAATTCATAAGAAGAGCCTGCTGGTTCAAGCCAATGGCCCATCTAGCCCAGCATCCTGTTCTCACAGTGGCCAACCAGATACCTGTAGGAAACTGGCAAGCAGAATCCAAGCACAAGAGCCCTCTCCCTTACTGTGGCTTCTAGCATCTGGCATGCAGAAGCATTACTGCCTCGTAACCATGCAGGCAGTTCATAGCCATTGTGGCTAGTAGCCATTGATAGCCATATCCTCCCCTCCAGTTTGACTCCACTGTCCTCATTTCACCTCTCTCCATGCTCTCTCGACTTATCTATAGTATTTAAACTCTAACTTCTGATGCAAAGGTGGCTTACAAGCAATCAATATTAACAATGACGCGTAATAAAACAGCAAAACAAGAATAGAGGCACAATGATAAATGCAGTGCATTAAAATAGAAGCAAGAAACATATAAAATGATCTTCACTGTCATTAGAAGAATGAGAGAACAGGATGGCCTTTGCTTAGTGCAGGGGTGGGGAACTGCAGCCCAGGAGTCTGGGTGTGGCTCTCCGGGCATCTTTACCTGGCCCCTGGGCTCTCCTCAGACCATGCCCCCTCCCCAGCCCCACTTCATACCCTCCTTGAGAGTTTCTGCCTGCACAGAAGGTGCCCTTGTACTGATATATTAGTGAAAAGAACATACAAAACTGCATTATACTAGGGGAAACTGTTTTGCAAAAATATGTATACAGTGGACCCTCCAGATATAAACTTAATTCGTTCCAGGGGTCCGTGCACAACCTGAAAAGTCTGCAACAAGAGGCGCCGCTTCTGCTCATGTGCACGGCATGATGGAGCACTTCCGCACATGCATGCGGTGTGCAAAGCACTTCTGCACATGCACGCGCTGCGAAACCCGGAAGTATACACTTCCGGGTTTGCCGCGTTCACAACCCAAAAGTTACGTTACCCAAAAGTAACATAGCCTGAGGTACCACTGTATCAGGCAAAAATGTACACAAAAAAATGCGTTAGGATAAATTGCACTAAAATGCTGGTGAACTTTCATGAAGTCTTAAGAGAATCACAAACTGATGGGGAAATGTAAGGAATTGAACTTGAAATTGGAAAAATAAGAAACTCAAATAAATAGAATTAGGCACATTTCCCACCACTCATCCCTATCTAGTGCATAACAGATAACAGGTTTGGTAGCAAGTGGACATATCCTGGGAGAACATTTCATAGTTTTTGCGCCACCACATTAAAGACCGTTTCTTCATTAATCATCCATCTGAAGGGTCCTAAGAGAGTATCTTAAGCAAGGAGCTGATAAGGAGTAGGTGACCTATTAGATTTGCTAGCTAAACCTGAGGACATTCTGTTTTTTACCCACCAAACTGCTCTGAGCTGATATGAATTGAAGGGATTCCTCCAAAGAATTTGCTAGTACCAAGTTCATAACTCTACCTTCCTCAGAACACTTGTCAACCTTTCAGAAAAAGAAATATTTCTTTCAAGAGAAATTGTTGATTGTTTGGGACAAATATATCCTGAAATTAGCTGACCACTTGAGTAATATCATGCTTTTGTATGTGGGTGTCTGGTTACTGAAGGGCCTCTGAACACAGAGAATCTATAGATAAGTGCTACCAAATGAAATAATTACATTTCCTGCTTTATTTCCCCCTCTCTTGTTAAGCTGCTTACGAAATCAATGGACGGAACTACATGAAGTAAGAAAACACAGGCTTGCAGCCATGGGTCAGGAGCTAGAAAGCGGCCCACAGGCCCACATGGCTTCCAGGACAAACATAAGAAGAGCCCTGCTGTTTCAGGCCAAAGACCCATCCAATCCACTGTCCTGTTCCCACAGTGGCTGGCCAGATGCTCATGGACACCATGGCAAAGGAGGAAACTACCCTGAAATTTAACTTCCAGAGACCTGGTAAGCAGGGCTGACCTCTGGAGACATGCCCTGCACTTCTCCAAAAGGCAAGATAAGGACAGAACTAGAAGACGTAGTTGCTATTTATGTGGAACATTCCTAAACAGCTTAACGTTTAAAACTATCTAAGTAGTATGCAATATGCGATAAAACATAACGCAAGAAGATGCCACAAAATCATTAAACACATCATAAGAACAGTAAAAATTACAGCAGCAGAAGAACAAAAACACAGAGGTGTAAAAATCCAGCCTCAGGGATCCGGAAAGGCCCAGGCAAAAACAGATGTTTATGAGAGACGGCCAAGACATAAAACTGAAAGCACCTTGTGAATTGCAGAGGGGGCAACTATGGAAAACCCTGTTTCTGGGGCAGTGCTCTGCAACAATCTGCAGGGTGTAGTGCCAGACTTATTTATTTTTATTAATTTGCAAAAATCCCTATACTGCCAACATTGGGGGAGAGGAGTGCTACAGTGATTGACAGCATAAAATAAACACTTTAGCCCTTATATACTCTCTTTCCCCCTTCCCCTCCTTTTTCACATATTTCTAGTTGCAAGTTCCTTTATAAACCAAAGGAAACAAAAACACATACGCACAAGCCTGCAATTGCCCATTCTAGACACTTCTTCGTCTTAGTATCCTGTTGAAATTCTGTAGGAGGCAGCCATAAAAGAAGATTAAAAGCAACAATGTCTTATTAAAGTTACCAATGGATCGGTTGATGTATTAATGTGTTCTTCTCAGCTGTTAGAAGTCTACACTTATCCAGAGAATCAAACGCTAATATATCAAGGCTTGAATGCCCGCTTCGTCCCATGGGAAATGAGAACCCCTTCTATTGTGTATTTATCTGCTCCTGAAACAAGGTGGTCAAAACACACAGAGGTCAGACAGAAAGGAGAGAGGGGGAGTAGCAGGCTGTGAGTGGAGAGACTCATCTCTATTACTCTCCAGAAATGAATTGTCTAAACCTAGCACAGCATTTCTCAAACTTCCAGGAGCTGAAACACATCCATGAG